AGCATGTCATTCAACCTGAATAATTTTGTTATGTTTCCATTAACTTTTTGTTGAACAGTGTCTATTGAAGACAGCGCAAATTGGGGAAGGAGATATCTTGATGATTCAAAATTGAAATGGAATGTGATTTTCTTAATATTATTTGAATTAAAAAAATTCAAGCAATTAGCAATGATGTGATGCTCTTTTTTCTTTGCTAGTTGCCTTCAAATAAAAAAAAAAAAATTCTTTTTTCATAGGAGGCTCGCCCGGGCCACGGGCCGGGCTCGGGCCAACTCCCCAAAGTGGGGCTCGGCCCGAGCCAAGCCCTAGCCGTCCGAGCCTTCGAGCTTTTTTGCCATCAGTATAGTCATGTGAAGTTCTTTTTTATTTATTTTTAAAGTTCCTTAGTTTTCCCTGAATTGGAGTTAGCTTGAATATCCATTTACCATGCATTTTTTATTGGATTAAGCACTGTATTCATTCCTCTATCTTCTTTACCTCTATAAGCAAAAGTCTAGATTAAATGTAGGTGGACGTCCCCTCGTGTTTTGTTGGTTTGGTCCTTGAAAATTGTGACCTCCCATTTGCAAATCACGGGCATGTTGTTCTTGCGGACCCGTCGCCTATCTTATTTTATCCTATCAGCAGCGCTGAAGTTCGTTGCTTGGTTGATGTCCCGGGACAAAAAGTGCCTTCCATTGCTAATGGTGAAATGGCCACATATTTGAAGACTGTGGTGGCTCCTCAGGTACTTATAGTTTGCTCATAGAATGACTTCTGCTTATTTTCATTTACTTATTTCTGTTGCTTATATTGCTCATTCTGATTGAACAATGCATCCATTTTTCAGATCCCTTCTCAGCTTTATGATGCATTTATAGCAGCAATTGACAAAGGAAATATAAAAACAATGCCAAACAGAAGTATGCCAGCAAACCCTCATCCCACTCCGGGTGCCCTTCTAATGGGAGATGCATTCAACATGCGACATCCTTTAACCGGGGGAGGAATGACTGTGGCTCTATCAGATATCGTCGTTATCCGAAATCTTCTTCGACCATTACATGATCTAAATGATGCTGCTACCCTGTCCAAGTATCTTGAATCGTTTTATACCCTTAGAAAGGTGAGTTATACAGTTTGAACATTTCCATTCTTTTAAATATCCTATTATGACATTGCTGAAGGAATTTGTCTTAAATTCAAAATTATGGGGATTTTATCTTGAGAATTCAAATTCTTTTTTGTTTGCAGCCCGTAGCATCTACCATAAATACACTGGCAGGTGCACTTTACAAAGTATTTTGTGCATCACCTGATCAGGCAAGGAAAGAAATGCGCGAAGCGTGTTTTGACTACTTGAGCCTTGGAGGCATTTTCTCCAATGGTCCGGTGTCTTTACTCTCTGGTCTGAATCCACGCCCTTTGAGTCTTGTGCTCCATTTCTTTGCCGTGGCTGTCTTTGGCGTTGGTCGCTTATTTCTTCCATTTCCTACTCCAAAACGGATTTGGTTAGGGGCTAGATTGCTTTCGGTGAGTGTCTATTGTACTAAAATTTTCTTCTATTCTTCTACAACTGTACCAATACTTGACAATATTAAGGACAATACAAAGTTAAAAATCATGTTTATAATAAGGTCCAGTGTGTGTCATCACTTGCAAAACTGACGACATTTTTTCTCTTTACAGGGCGCGTCTGGAATTATATTTCCAATTATGAATGCAGAGGGATTTAGACAAATGTTCTTCCCTGCTACTGTTCCAGCCTACTACAGATCTCCCCCAGTTAAATAACCAAGGCAGTTAAATTCTGGTCTTCATTAGTTGTTTCTTTTTATGTATTAGTATGGTCTTTCCACAAAATAGAGTCAAGACGTTACCATTAGCTTGAGAAAGAGAATACTGTTAAAGCATTTTTTTATATATGCCTAATTCTGAAAATAAAATATTCCATCTCATCTTGTAAGACATGGCATTTGATAATATAATAAATTTAGAGAGTATAGTTTCATGTCTATTGCTTTGTTTCAAAGACTGATAGACCTTAAAACAAAAACAGATTCGGATATAGATAGTGGTGTCAAAGGTTCGGGTCAAGTAACCTGGGCCGGGTTGGGTCATCTAACAGTAGATTCAAAACGGTCCTCAGCTAACAATAGATTAGATTCAAAGGTTTGGGTCAAGTCATCCGGGTCGGGTTAGGCCATTTCTATTACTTGGGAACAGAGGTTTCACACTATTCACATTATTTTTACGGTTTTGAATGTCTACGTTATTTATGTTTTATTAATATCAATTTGTTTTTTGAACTCTTGAATCATCACAATGTTGTTACACCTTAAAATATGTCCATGATTTATACAGGTACCAAGTAATTTTTGTTTTTGGAGGTCGAAATGTTGGTATAACCAGCAGTGTTCTAAAAATATTGTCCAGGCGGAAATATGTCAATGATTTATACAGTACCAAGTAATATTTTCTTTCGGAGAGCCTAGGCACCGCCTTAGCTAGAAACTCGGACAAAACATATCGCTTCGAGCCTAGGCGATTTTATTTTTTTTTAATTTCAAAACATTTGAATTTTTTCCTTCAAATCTTTCGTCTTCCCTAGGTGTCCTTTATTAATTTTTTTTTTTACCTTTTTTAAATGTTTTTCATTTGACTTTAGTTTATTAAATTTTTATGTTTTAAAACACTTTTTATTTGACTATAATTTCAAAATTTTAAAAGATTTTATCTATACAAAAGTTAAAATTGATTTTATCAGATAAAAGAGTTAAATAAAATCTAAGCAACGATATATACATTATGTAATAATGAGCTTGAGACTCATTATTTTGGTGAAAACTTTAAAAACATGTATAAAATTCCTATAAATCTATTAAATAAGAATTGTCTACTTGAAAATTGAAATTTTGAAAGACAGTCTAGTGTTTGTATTTCAAAAATTTGAAAATTATATAATTGACTAATTGTAGAATTTATTAAGTAAATATAGTATTTTATAATTTCAGATACTTGATATGTATTATTTTAATTATTAAATAATTTTTAAAATGATTAAAAATTTAAAATAGCTTTTTACTCCTAGACGTTTAAGTTCGCAAAACTTGAAATTTCATCTCAGTTAGGCTTTACCCCTTTTGAACATTGGTTATAACTTAAAATATGTTCATGGTTTATGTTTTAGTGGTACCAAGTAATTTTTGTTTTTCGAGATTTTTAATTGTTAAAATATTGTTACAGCTTAGAAAATGTCCATGATTTATGTTTCATTGGTCCCAACTCCCAAGTAATTTTTGTCTCTTGATGTCTCAATTTTGTTAGAGTTTTGCTACATAGACATAATGCTTAACATATGGGATGACACAACACACACACATGGAGAGTCGGCATTATTTAATTCGGGTTTGGATCCACATACAATATGAGTGATCGGTCAACCCCTGTGTCGAACATTATGTTCATTTAACTTAATTCATTTTGTTATAGCTTAAAATATACTTAGGATTTATTATTCATTGATACCAAGTCATTTTCGTCTTTCAAGCTGATAATTAGTAACGTTGTTATTACAACTTAGAATATATTCATGATTTATGTTTCATTGATATCAAGAAATTTTTGTCTTTCAAGCTGGACATCTTAAAATATATCCATAATTTATGTATCGTTAGTGTTCAAGTTATGCCTCAAAAAATACACGAGACTTAAGTCTTTTTGGGTACGATGTTAGTTTTGACACGCGTAAGTTAGTTCATGTATCGATAGGATACATATTTACAAGTTTATGGATGATTATGGTACAAAGTTAAGTTCATTTATGATTTTGATATAAAAGATAAAGTTCATGTATGGTTTCCATACAATTGATGAAGTTCTTGTATATGTAATTTTATTTTATATTGCTATTACAATGTGTACATTTTGACATTTTAACTTATTAATTCATACATCACGACAACCCACAATCATTGTATTTGCACTCCCGTTTTCATCGCCTTATAGGGATAATAGTCCAAATGGTCATTGAATTTTAAAAATTATCCTAATTATCACTAAGCTTTGCATTTTGTAATCCCGTTCGTCCAAATATAACGGAATGCTATATTGCTGCATACATAGCTTTGATGTAATAATTAATGGGTGCCAAGTCTCACCCCATTTCCCATCACCACCCACCTACTCTTACCCATGAAAAACAACCACCGTCACCACAACAACGAATCGTCGGCATCACAGTAAACCACAGGCTACACAACTCCTTCCCACACAAAAGAGCATCCAGTACAACTAAACTTCAGCTCCTTTCTTCCATTACCAAATTAGACACCTAAATTCTGCTCAATCTGAACCTTTTTGTTACGATGATGTCGGCGATTCCATTACTATCAAATTCTGCTCAAATTCCATTACTGCGACGCCGGCGATTCCAAACAAAAAATTGTATTATCATCTTCAATCACTGGAAAGCAAAAATATCAAACGCGTCTTTAAACTACCTAAATCCAGATTCGAACATGCATACAAAAACTTGGGAATGAAATTGATAATTGCCTCTTTCATTTTATTCACCTCCTCTATTGTATCTTTCCAATATTCTTTTAATATTAGTACAATTTCTCACTTCATTATGGTCAATAAACACTGAATAAGCCTTTGCTGTTCCTGATAAGTTCCATCGATACTGATCTTTAAAATTCCCTTCCCAAAAGTATACTAGAATTTCACCTGAAACAAGGAAAAAAAACGTGTTTCCAAAATTACAACTCTTTAAGTTGTATGTCAACGTGGCTATTTTCAATTGGCTGGATTGTTAATTCCAGAATTGTGCTTGCCGTTCGATTTTATCAATGGTTGTGATCTTTGGTTGGCTTTTTAAAGTGATGGTTGATGACTTTTGGACTTCACTTTCATTCGGTCTATTTGTTTTGGTTTTGGAGTTATTCGTTCTCTCTAGAGTCTCTTCTTATCTTCTCTTGGTTAATGTTTTCAGATCTTGAAAAGATTTGTGAAATCCATGTGTAAATCACTATTATAATAGTAACCATTGGGTCGATTGTTGGCTGTGTTGATTAGATTCTGTATATTGTGTATAGCGTGTTAGGGTTTGGTTTTTTGGATTGAAGTTTTAGGAGATCTTCGGATCAATGACTAAAACTCGTGCGATTTGATATTTGGATGATTTAAACTCTCTCTGGAAGGCATTGTTGGTGTACTAGTGGATTGGGCTAGTAGCTGAGCCCCGAGATTAAGCATAGCCGAATTGGGTTAACATTTTTGGTGTCAATTTAGATTTCTGCAGTGATTATTCTTGGGTGTGTTTTTCTTGTTTGTGCATTATTTGGGCATTTTAAACCCAACAACTGGTATCAAAGCCTATTAAGGCTGTGGGTAAGGTTCTTTGATGTTTTTTTTTTCAGTTTCATTTTCGTATTAATTCATCTATTACACGTGTAGTCCTCTGGAACAAATCTGAACTGAAGTCTGAAATTGACATTGAAACTGAATTTTGATTCTTAAACGACAGTGGAGTTTTAAATACTATTTTACACAGTATTTTGATGAGATTGTTCTAATTATCTTATATCTAGTAATTTGATTTGCATGCTTGATGTGAATTTGTAAATCTGTTAATATACTTTGATTTAGTTTATTCAAGAATCTGAATAAATTGGCTTACTATAATATGAGCATGTTAGGTTTATCATCAATTTCTTCAATCTGAGTGTTTGGTACCATCTGTTATAACTCAGAGATTGATTGTTTGTTACTGTGCGTATTTTATTAGTATTGTTTTTCATTCTGAGTTCAACTTACTTGTCATAATTTGCACGAATTTTTTTCCTAAACTTTTTCTGCAACTTAAATGATCTTTAGATTGAAAATCACTTATGTCCACGAGTAATAATCACTCTTTTACAGAACATGGGATGAGTTCGAAGGTCGAATTATCACAATTCGATGGAAATGAGGATTACTCAATTTGGATGCAGAAAATGAGGGTCTATTAGTCCAATAAAGGGTTGCTAAAGCCATTGATGATCTTGCAACTTTTTTCTGATGCATTGAAAGCTAAGCCTGACGAAATTCTAGATATGAATAAAATAGTATACAGTTCTATTATATTGCACCTATCTGATGATATAGTAAGACAAGTTGAAGATCATACCACCCCTAGGGACTTGTGGACTGCATTAGATGCTTTGTTTCTAACTAAGACATTGCCTAATAAAATCTACCTCTTAGAGAAACTGTTTAGCTTTAAGATAGATAGTGGAAATTTGGAAGCTAATTTGAGTGATTTTAGTATCCTAGTTAAGAGTCTTGCTCGTAATGGAAAGAAATTTGATGACGAGGACCTTGCCGTTATTCTCCTGAATTCCTTGCCTGATTCATTTAAGGATATAAAAAATGCTATAAAATACTTAAGAGATGCTCTAACACAAATCATTGTCACTAATGCTTTAAGATCTCGGGAATTGGAGATAATAAAGAATCTAAAACAAGTACAAGAGAGGATAGCATGTTTATAGGAGGGAGAACTGAGAAGAAGGAAAATAACTTCAACAACAGAAGATTCAAATCCAAATCCAAATCTAAAACCAAGTCTAAATCAAGAGATAAAAGTAATAAGAAGTGTTACCATTGTGGGAAATTAGGTCACTTTAAGAGAGATTGCTTTGAACGGAAGAAGAAACATAAGGATAATAATAATGATGAACTGAATAATTCACCCGTATGTTCTGAATTAGATAGCCTACTTGTGATGACTGTGTCAGATGAAGAAGTTAATAAGGACTCGATCTTGGATTCAGGGTCTACATTTCATATGTGTCTTAATAGGTCATGGTTTAATAATTATAAAGAAGTTGAACCCATGAGTGATAATAACTCTCATAGTGTTCTTGGTATTGGTAACATTACCATTAGGATGCATGATGGTATTGTCAGACAATTAAAGAATGTAAGATATATCTCAAATCTTAAAAGAAATCTCATCTCGTTAGGAATTCTTGAAGATGAGGGACATTATTTCAAGTTAGCTAACAACACTTTCAAAGTGATGAAGAGAACTTTGGTAATTCTGAAGGGACATAAAAGAAATGGATTGTACTATCTTATGGGAGAGACTGTTACTCCTCAAGATGTAAAATCTTTGACCATAATTGAAGACAAATCTGAATTATAGTATAACAGAATGAGACATATAGGAAATAAGGGTTTAAAGTATCTAAGTAAACAAAAATATTGGGAAAGATATGATTGAACGTCTTGAATTTTGTGAAACATGTGTGCTGGGAAAATCTCATAGGATGAACTTTGAGACTGTGTTACATACCACCTCTAGGCCTCTAGATTATGTCCAGTCAGATTTATGGAGTTCGAAAAGTCACCCCACCTTTGAAGCCAATAAGTACTTTATTTCCATAGTTGATGACTACTCAAAAAAGGTATGGACTTATCCATTGAAAAACAAATCTGAGACATTTCAAAAATTTAGAACTTGGTTAACGATGGTGGAAAATCAACTTGATAAGAAGTTACAAACTCTAAGAACTGATAATGGTTTGAAATTTTGTAATGCCGAATTTGATAACTTCTATAAACAAAAAAAGATTGTAAGACACATGACTGTTAAACATACACCTCAACAGAACGGGGTTGCTGAAAGAATGAATAGAACTCTAATGAATAAGGTTAGGTGTATGTTGATCAGTTCTGGATTAGCTAAAGGTTTTTGGGCCAAGGCTGTGACTACAGCTGTTTATCTTATAATTAGATCTCCATGCAGTTTGTGTTATGCGTGGGTACCCGAAAGGGATGAAAGAGTACAGGTTGTGGGTGATAGGTGTACAAGGTATTCAGGTCATTAATAACATAAATGTAGTATTTAATGAGTCCGGAATGCCATGTTTGAAAAATAAAATTGATAATTCTAAAGAGCAAATTAAAGAGAATACTTCACAGTTTGAGGTGAAGTTAGCTAGACTCAGTCACACTCAACCTGAAAATGATGAAGCTGATTTTGAACAATCTGATAAAAATATTATTAACACAGATGGAGGTGAAGTAGATGTACCTCAAGCTGAGGTTGAAACTAAAATTTATCGACAAATGAAACTAGCATTCAAGATTATCAATTGGTCAGAGATAGGGAAAGGAGACAAGTCAGACCAAATCCAAGATATGAAATAAATAATTTGACTGACTTTGCTATTATCTCTGGTGAATAGCTAGAACATTCAGAACCTTCATCTTATGAAGAAGATATGAATAGTTCTGATTCTGAAAAATGGAAAGAGGCTATGAAGGAGGAAATAGAATCCTTACTTGATAATAAAATATGGAAGCTTGTAAAGAAACCTAAAACTCGGAGAATTGTTCAATGTAAATGGATTTTCAAAGTCAAGGAAGGAATTAATTCTACTAATCCCTTGAGATATAAGGCGAGACTTGTCGCCAAGGGTTTTACTCAAAGGGAAGATGTTGATTATAATGAAATATTCTCTCCTATAATCAAATACAAAACAATAAGATTGATTCTTGTACTAGTTGTTGAATTCAATTGGAAACTTGAACAATTAGATGTCAAGACTGCTTTCTTACATGGGGAGCTTGAAAATCTCATTTATATGAGTCAACCCCAATGTTTTGAGGAAAAAAGAAAATTTTGAGTTTGTGTACAAGTTGCAAAAATCTTTGTATGGATTTAAACAAAGCCCTAGACAGTGGTACATAAGGTTTAACAAATATGTACTGAAAATTGGTTTTAGGATAAGTGAATATGATCATTGCTTGTACTATAACAATACTAAAGCTGGCAATGAGGTGCATCTACTTCTATATGNACTAAAGCTGGCAATGAGGTGCATCTACTTCTATATGTAGATGATATGTTGCTAGCTAGCTCTAGCATAGCTGAGACATTAAGGTTTAAAAATCTTCTAAAATTTGAATTTGATATTAATGATTTAGGGAATGCTAAGAAAATTTTGGGGATGATTATTAATAGGAATGGGAAAAAAATATATTAACTGTATCTTAAGAAACGTACTTAAATAAAGGCAGAACCAAATTTGGCATGAAAGAAGATAAGTCTATGAATGTTCCCCTTGCTGCCTACATGAACCTCTTTTCAACCAAATGTTCTAAAACTGAATCTGAATTTAAAGATATGAAGAATATTCAATATGCTAATGCCACATAATCTGTCATGTTTTCTATGGTTACAACTAGGCCTGATTTGGTATATTCTATTAGTTTTCTAAATAGGTTTATATCTAATTCGGGAAAACCTCATTGGGCTAGGTTAAAGTGGTTGTTGAGATATATAGTTGGAACACTTAGAGTATGCTTGGTGTTTGAAAATGGATCTGATCAATTAACATTGAAAGGGTATATAAACTCTGATTTTGTTTGGGATAAAGACCAAAGAAAGTCTACAACTGCATATTTCTTTACACTTTGTGATAATTGTATCATTTAGAAGTCACAACTTCAACCTATTGTCACGTTATCTAGTACAGAGGCTGAATATGTGGCAATAGTTGAATCTGTAAAAGAATGTATCTGGTTAAAGGAAATTTTGTGAGAGTTGAATTTTTATATAAGATATCTACGATTTTCACTGATAGTCAAAGTGCTTTGCTATTATGCAAAAATCATGTATATCATGAAAGATCCAAGCATATGGAGATGAAGTACCATTTTATACGTGAGAAAATTGCATGTAGTGAGATTATACTTGATAAATTCATACTGATATAAATCCATTTGATATGGGAACCAAAATTCTACATTTAAATAAGTTTAGAGTTTGTTTATACTTACTACATATTGATACCGGTTAATCTTTTGCAGGTACCCGAGTGATGATGTTGGACCCTTCCACATATTAGTACACCATTTAAGCATACTGCAGAGAGTTTGCATTTTGGAACCAAGGTGAAGATTGAAAGAAGATAAAACATTTTTTTCAAAATTACAACTCTTTAAGTTGTATGTCCACGTGGCTATTTTCAATTGGCTGGATTGTTAATTCCAGAATTGTGCTTGTCGTTCGATTTAATCAATGGTTGTGATCTTTGGTTGGCTTTTTAATGTGATGGTTGATGACTTTTGGACTTCACTTTCATTCGTTCTATTTGTTTTGGTTTTGGAGTTATTCATTCTGTCTAGAGTCTCTTCTTATCTTCTCTTGGTTAATGTTTTCAGATCTTGAAAAGATCTGTGAAATCCATGTGTATATCGCTATTATAATAGTAATCATTGGGTCAATTGTTGGCTGTGTTGATTAGGTTCTATTTATTGTGTATAGCGTGTTAGTGTTTGGTTTTTTGGATTGAAGTTTTAGGAGATCTTTGGATCAATGAGTAAAACTAGTGCGATATGATATTTGGTTGATTTAAACTCTTTCTGATAGGCATTGTTGGTGTACTAGTGATTTGGGCTGGTAGCTGAGCCCCCAGATTAAGCATAATCGAACTGGGTTAATATTTTTTGTGTTAATTTCGATTTCTGCAGTGTGTGTTCTTGGGTGTCTTTTTCTTGTTTGTGCATTATTTGGGTGTTTTAAACCCAACAACACCAAATAGAATGCAATTGAACATAGACCTTTATGTGAAACCAGCCCTTTTTGGCTGCAAACAAAAATTCAAATTAAGGAAAGTTACAAGAATTGCCAAACATGCTCAATAAATTCAATTTTGGGCTAATTGGAATGGGTGGCGGCAAGCAGGAAGCGAAGAATGGGGAAAGATTATTACCGTTTGATTTTTCTTATACCAATCTTTAATCAATAGATTGTAATCGTTGGTATGATCTAAGAAGGAAACCGAAATTATGGGTCTGCTGAGGATTCTGATGCCTCCAAAACCACATCCATTAGAGTTTTACTGAATGCTCATTTTGTGTGGGAATGAGTGGTTTAGTAGACGGTTTATGGTGTCTTCGGCGATTCGTTGTGGTGGTGAATGTTGGTGGTGGTGAATGTGGTTATTTTTCAAGGGTAAGGGTAGGTGGGGTGGGGAAGGAGATGGACCTTTTCTTTTTTCAATTTTTTTTTTATTATCATTATGTTTAAAACATATTTCACTTAAAAAAATTCAAGTGTGTAGTACTTATTTGACTTGACACCCATTAATTGACACATCAAAGCCACATATGCAATCACGTTAGCATTTCTTTAATTTTTTAACTGATTGTTAGCTCGGTTACGAATGGGGTTACAAAATGAAAATTTTAGTGATGAATGAGGCAATTTTTAAAGTTTAGTTACTCCTTGGGGACCTTTTGCAAAGTTCAGTGACAATTTGAGCTATTATCCCTTGTCTTATACAAAAAAATCACAAATCAATAATGTTAAATTACTAATTTGTAATACAAGATTACATATTCCTAATAGAAAAATTACATATCTATAATCGAATCAGCTACCATCGCAACCATCTCCCCACCATCACCATCACCATCACCACTGGACCATGCATGTACAATATCCAACCCCAAAAGCCACTCACCATGTAAAACAACAACTCGGTCCACATATAAACCACAAAGCATTTTCGGTGAAGCCTAGATGCCTTTGTGACACCCAAGACTCGTGTGATCCCTTGATCTCATTCAAAACTCTTAAGACACCGACAAACTTTTATTCTTCACTTGTACGGGCAAGACTCATGCAATTCTCTTCCAAGATTCAATAGATTGGGAAGGGAGGAGTTGGTGAAGAGGAAGAGGGAGATCAACTTTTTCAGATCAAGGCTGAAGGTGCATGGGTTCGGTGGTGGACGAGTGAGAATGTAGGGAAGGGAGAAAGTGTTGGTAGTGGTGGGGAAGTGTAAACAGTAGTGTGTGTGGAGTAAAGAGGTATTATTTTAGAATTAGTTCTAGTAGTACTTGATTTGTAAAATTATTAATTTTCCCTTTTCAAAATATCAGCTTTTGAAGAACTTTGAAGCCCCTATATGATGGGAATTAAAATAATATTTTTAGTAGAGTTTGATAAAATGTGTCCAATAAAATATGTGGTTAATATTGGAAAAAATTTCAGTACCGTTCCCAAACATTTGCATTTGTTGAAGATATTATCTCAATCTTTACTTTGTACCACCACATGTTTCAAACATTCGGTAAATTCGCAGCTCAAGTCCCAATGGATGGAATCCATCAACTTTTCCATTAGTTGATCAAGAAAAAATATTTTGACCATATTTTTATTGCACCAACCCACCCACCCAAATACCATACCAAACCCGCGACAAATTGCTGAAAAATCTTCTAGTACCAATACTTTAATCTTTACAAGATTCAAAACCCATTTTAAAAACAACATCAAAATTATCAACATCTAGCAATTAATTTCCCACAACCATTGAATCCTGCAGCTTCGATTTTGGATCTAGTTGCTCCTTGTCCAGCTAGTCCGAATACAACATTTTTGTGGGGTCCTATGGACGCTGCAAACTGAATGGGTTGTGAAAAAGTGTGACACTCCATTGTCGGTTAATGGCCATCGCTATTTCGAGAATAACAAATCGTCGGCTTCAATTCATGTCTTATCTTTATACAGAGGCAAACTTTACAAGATGAATATATCCTAAACTACCAATTTGGCTCGGTGAAGAATAAACTAAAATTGAAAACAAAAATTGCAGTTTCGGTGAATAAGAAAATTGGAGGCAAGGGTTAAATTGGTGGTTGTTATGTGAGATAGGTGGAGATGATGAATTTGGGGTGGTGGTAGTCATGGGCGACCCCAAGGTCCCCAACTTTTGAGTTATATATATATATAATATCGATTGAAATATAAATTTTAATTTAAATTAAAGTTAACAATTAATTTTAATAACATATTTCATGGAATCCATAATTATTTAACTTTTATTAAAATTTCCGAAAAATTGATTTTAATCTCCATAAAAATAAGGGAAAAATCACAATAAATTTTAATTTTTTTCTCGCCTTTTAATAAAATCTTAACTCTCCATAAAAAAAGGCGAAATATTGCATTCTTCATATTATTTTGAAGTGTCCACGGTCTAGTTTTCTACGTTGTTAATGGCGTACAAAATGATCAATTATGGCAAATGCTACGACTTGTCAAAGTAAGCCGTTCAAAATTAATATTTCTAAAATTTCGATAATATGCTAACTTTAAAATTTTTTCGACGATCGTAACCTAATCGAATCTACAAATTGCTTATGTCATCTCAAATCTTATTTCGAGAATTACATTATAGATATCAAATAATCCAAACGGATATTGAAAATAGTTAAAAATGCGTTAAACGTGAGTTTTAAAGAAAGACGTTTAATTCGCATTTCTTTAAAAAAATTCAATTATTTCATTAACATTTATTATTTTTGCAATACAAATTTCTCAATATAATTTTCATATTTTTATTATGAAATATGACATAAAAAATTTTAGAAATTTTACATCTGAAAAAGTCATATCCCTTATAAATTTTCGGATGCAAAATTACATGTGGTATGATTTTTTTGGGCGTAAATTTTTTATTGTAAAAATTCTCTCAATTTCTTTGCAAATTTGATTGTGCCCCCTAAGTTTTAACTTCTGTGTCTGCCCCTGGTGGTGGTTGGTAGAGGCGGTGGTTTGTTGGAGGCAGCGACAACGGTGGTATTGTAGGGTGGGGAGGAAGAAGATGACGTCATTTTCTTTTTCTTTTTGATTTAATATCTTAAATGTTTATAATAGAAAATTTTAAAGTTACAATTCTACCCCTTTAAAATAATTAAAATATGGTCAAATACTTTTTTCTTAGTCAACTAACAAAAAAAGTCGATGACTTCCATACATTTGGACTATAACTGAATATGTGGTGTGGTGGTACAAAATGAAGATTGAGATAAAGTACCCTATAAATTCAAAGATTTGGGATCCCAGCTGCAATTTTCACTTAGTATTGACCTAATTTCCACTTATTATATAACTAGTTTTAGGGAGTGTCTTCAATTGAAATTGTGATGTATTTTAAAAATCATTCTAAATTTAGGTGTTCGCAATTGAGATTTTAATGAATTTTAATGAAATTATTTAAATTTAGGTATCTTCAACAACTAATGAATTTACAAAGATATAATTAATAGAATAATTTTAAAAGATTTTGATGGATTTCAAGCTTTAAAATAAATGTAATCAAATATATTC